CTGGACGCCGAGAAGCTGACGGTGAGTAAAGTTTGTTAATTTGACACAGAAACAGGAGAAAGAGTCAGGATTCTGTCAGTGGAGGTTTATAGAAAACTTGACCAGATGTGACTCTGCAGAAAAACCAAACTAGATCCACTAAAGTCACTAAATGACGAGCTGAACTTCAGCAGAGAGGAAACATGACGGGAAATAAAACTGCATGTGTCTCAGTTTGTTTTAACGCTGGAACAGAGAATTTATTAGGATGTTTTAACCTGTGAACAGCAAATATTCTGATTTAAAGCCAATAAATCAATATTTTAAAAGAGACTCAGTGAACTCAATGGAAGAGGAAACATGTGACACGTAGAGTTACATAACTCATTTACACTCAAACTAGTAATACTAGTTCTAGTTCTAACACTAAAGCATTTGGATTATCTTCCAGTAGAAACTCAATGTACAGTTAGTTTACGGTTTACTGGTTTCACATTCTGCTGCTGTTTGCTTCTCTTTTTTATTATTCTGATGAAACTTCTGGGTTTTGCTCTCTGATGTTTTGGGCAACAATCTCAGAAACAAACAAACATTGAATCAGTATTTAATGTTGACCCAGATTCCAGAACATTAATATTTGGACCTGTTTCCGGGTTTTCCTGCTTGGTTCCAGCTCAGCTGATCTGATTGGTTCATTTCCATGGGCAGACATTTTGATCCTTCAGGTCTGAGAATAGTTAATATGTAAGCCTCAGTACTGACTGGTTCTGATCCGGTTCTACTGGTTCTTCCCTCTGGAACAGCGCCCTCTCCTGGAGCCTGCAGGAACAGCAGATGTGGAGATCTGGAAACATGGAGGAGTTTTCTTCTTCTGCATCGACTGAATGAACTCTGAACTTCCTGTTCTGGTTGGTGATGAGAGCAGAACCAGAACCGATCATTTTCATCATCATGACTTCTGTTTTCTGTTTATCTCTGAAGTTATGTTTTCTATATTTGTATATTTTGTTGCACTGATGTGAAAATAATTGATTTGCATGTTTTGTATTTTAAATCTTGAAGGAATCTGAATCGTCTGGTGACCAGAGCAACGTGGCGTCATGGCGTCTGCAGAACCTGGTGAGGAACGACTCCACTCTGACAGACACACATGATTTTATTTATTCAAAATGAAAGAGACTTTGAACTGTTTCCATCTCATCCATATAACTGACTGAACATCACTTTGCTTTGGCTGTCAGATCCATATGACTGATAATGAAAACTGAAGCAGGTGATTATGGAACCAAACCGTTTTATTCTGGATGAATAAAACGATGTTCATCTCCACTGAACTCCACTGGTTCTGGATTCAGACCAACTGAACTTTAAGCAACACACTGACCCGTTATCAGCTGTGGAACTGCAAAATGAATACCAAACACTCACACATCATAAACAGAAAACGCATTTCATATTTACACACAATAATACGTCATCCTACACCAGGAACTTTGTCAAAGTTCAAAATCAAAATGGTGGCTGAATGGTTCTGGTTCTGTGAAAAGTTTCTCTGAGGTTTTTTCTTCTCCAAGCTAAAGAGTCTGAGTTCAACTTTCAGAGGAAACATGTTCAAGTCCTGAATGAAGCACATTAACTTCAGACCTCGACCTGCTCAACCTGATTCCTTTTTCTCCACTAACAATAACCAGCAGGATGTTATTCTAAGACCCGGGTATCAAACTCCAGTCCTCACCGTGTCCTGCAGGTTTTCCATGTGCCACAGGGACAAAACGCTGGAATGAAACGACTTGATTACCTCCTCCTTTTGTGATCAGCTCTCCAGAGCCTTCATGACCTCATTATTGGATTCAGCTGCAGCGGAGGCTCAGATGAAAGTTGTGTCTTTGAGGACTGGAGTTTGTCAGCCATGTTATGAGGATTATCTGATAATAACTCAGGTGTTTTTACCTTTTCAGTGCCAGATGTTGTGGAACCGTTGAAGCGTTGTGGGAGCAACCCCCTGCTGCGTCCAGACAGTGAGTACGACTGAAATGAGTCCAGATAATCATTTCTAGATCAGTCTGTATAGTTGGTGCTTTTGAAGATGAAAAATTACATATTAAAGAAATATACAGTTCAGATTCATAATGTTTCATAAATCTGTTCCATAACTGTCTCCTGTTTTCTCTGATTCCGCTTGATGTCACTGAAAAGCTTCCATAAACTTAGAAACTGACATCATCATCCTGGATTTACCAAATTGTTCAAACATATGTAAGGTCTACTAACCTGGTAGTCACGTACGACAAGGGAATCAGTGACTATGAATCTTTATGATCAATTAGCGTATCAGAAACTGGGTTCATCTCAGGAGGAGCAAGTGAAACAAAAGGTTGAACAAAACACATATTTATTACACATTTTGGCAATAATACGAACAGAACAAAATAGTCAATATTTTCCTCTAGGAGTCCTAAGTCAAGTCAATCAAGTTCAGTCTTGTATAAAGTAGTGAAATCTCGGAGTCAAGTAAAAGTACAGGTACTGCTCCAAAATATGACTTTGGTAAAAGTAAAAGTCACTGATTGAAATGTTACTGGAGTTAAAGTCTTAAAGTATCTGAAATGTCTTGTACTTAAGTATGAAAATTACTGTAAAAATGGATGAACTCAAGTAATGAAATGAAAAGTAAAAAGTAAAACAAGGCAAATGCAGTTTGAATGACATTTTTTATATTTTGGTAAACTTGTTAAATATACTTAAAATAATGAACACAACCAAGTGCAGGCAAAATAAAACCTGCTAACAGGTATACCTGCAGGCATCATTTAGTTAAGAAAATTAGGTGTTTTACTTAAATCACCAGGTTAACTTAACCTGCTTTAGGTTAACTTAACCTGCTTTAGATTAACTTAACCTGCTTTAAGTTAACTTAACCTGCTTTAGATTAACTTAACCTGCTTTACAACTGAACCAGCTTCTTAGTAAACCCTCCAGGACAGAAAATACAAAGTTTCTATAAGCCTCAAGTTTTCCTTTCAGTAAGGTCAGTGGTGAAAATGAGAAAAATAAATAGTCAGTACAGAAAATGCAGCAAACATGAAGAAAAAAAGCCGTTACGATTCCTTCACACACTATAGGTACAACAACTGGTCATTATGCAAAAGAAAAAAGAATTGGGAGGGAAATGCAGCTTATTGACATCTGAAGAGGGAGAGCTTTTAGTTAACTTGGTGTTTAATGGGAGAAGTGAAACAGACCTCTGTGAAGCTGAACCCACCTACTCAAATAATCCAGCAAATACTCTGATTGGTTTGTGCTCCGTTTGTGCCGTTAAAATGTTCGTTTTTGCAGCTTTGGTTTCCGAGATATTAAAAATTATTTTTAGGCCATCCAAAATTTATACTTTTTAAGGTTACAATTACTGAAAATATTGAGTATGACTAAAAATTCACTAGAGAACAGTGTGTCTCGTGGAACTGCATGAATCACAAGGCAAGAAATCTATTTCCATTAGTTTCTCAGGAGAGTTTGGATGTGAAATTTGTTGACTCTCCCTGAGTGAAACTCCGACTCCTTGAGGAAGGGGGAGACCTAGAGAACGGCTGGCCCAAATTAGTGTTCATGAATCGGATCAACCTCGAGTTAGGCGCCGCTCACACCGGATATCGGAATAGCCAAAATCCAAATTGAAAACAAGTTTGCTGCGTTTGTTTTAACGGCACAAACCTGCACAAACTGAGCACTAATGAACCAGCACACTTTGGTTTGTTTTGGAGCAAAATGCGGGGATGGTGAACTCTGGATGGCCTAAAAAATCATTTTAATATCTCGGAAACCAAAGCTGCTCAATCGAAGATTTTAACGGCACAAACCCACAGAAACGGAGCACTAACCAATCAGACTGTTTGCTGGACTTTTTGACGTAGGTGGTGAGGTGTGAAACCTGTGCATCCTATTGGTGGTGATGAACAAGCCCAGGGAAGCAGGCTTTGTTGCAGTCAATCAGTAGGTTGATCAAAACATTTGCGTTTCTCTCTCGTTTTTTTGTAACGAGTAACTAAACCACACATTCAAAATGTATCGGAATAAAGGTATGTAATTAAGTTCGGAAATGTAGTGAAGTAAAAGTGAAAGTTATCAAAAATTTTCTTACTCGAGGAAAGTATGAAGTACTCCAAAATATACTTAAGTAAAGTAGTGAAGTATTTTGACTTCGTTACTATACAAGACTGGTCAAGTTCAAGGGTTCCTTTTCCTTTGAATCACTTTCAGTTCAGTTTTCAGATCTGAATGTTGTGTTGTAGCTACCCGGGTAGTGTGAATATGTGCAATCCCACCGATCTAGTGGAACAGAAGAAGGTTCTTCTTTGGCATCGTAGTGGACACAAAGTGAATCCGATCTTGTAGATCCTGGCTCGCCGTTCTTCATGTGTTGTTCCTCGACACAAAAAACAACCTGCATATAGCAGAAATATCTTTCACTATAGTGTTATTATGCGACTCTAAGTCACCTAAGTAAAATTTTTATCTCCTCTCCGTGTAGATAAATTATTTGTTCTTGTGATGAATAACTTTTGTCTTTTAACTCAACAAACATAAAAAAAATAATATTCACTGAATTGACATCAATATCTTATTTTTAGCACTCTTAAATTCTATACAGCGGAATAAATTACTCACTGTCACTAAATACCTCATCAGTATCACCATATCAAAAGAAAAGGCGCCACATTAGCAGAATAGCCTTTGTGAGTTAGCGATAAACATTTCTAATTCACTTACAAACATCATGTAGAAACATGCATTCTTACCCATAAACAAGTATCTCCGACTTTTTTTTTCTTTCAACATTAAACTATAAAATTACAATACAATCCAACCTTTAATCCATAACAGCAAAACATTAGCTTGTGGCTAATCGATAGCTAACGAGCCAATTATAGCACAGAACTCACCGGAGATTCGCAGCAAGAAAAAGAAAGAAATTAAATCTCAAAAAGCAACTTCTCCCAGATCTCGATACACAGGAATCAAAAATTAAACACAGATTAAACTAATTCTTGAAAAATATTCAAAAGAAAACTGATTTTTATCAATAAAGTGACCGCAACCGTTTTTGTGCTTCTTCTTCTAGTTACTCTCGCTCATATTCTGTAGAATATCACTGTAGGTTTAGACTACTTTGAAGCCATTTACTGCCACCCATTGGCAATATGGTGTATTACAGGCAATAACTCATGTTTGCTAACACATACTTTTTAGTTCACTACTGAGAATAGATTTAAACTGTAATTGAATATTGAGCTGACTTGATAAATAAACTTGTATGATGTTATTATGATATTGAGCAACTTTATTAATCTTAACTGACCTAAAACTGGAAAATATATGAATTAATGAGAGACTGAGAATATTGGTATTTGATACAGGGGATGTAATTAAAGATGGCCGACACAGAATTACAGCAACATCATGCTGAAGATGCATGAGGCGACAGTGGGAAGAAAAGCATCTTAGTCTGGATTTAGTCTTATTATTTAACTCTACATATTAAATAAATGGCAGCCATATTGGATTTGAGAATTGAGTTGGTGAAGATGTTCTGAGTTCTGGAGGATTTTTAAAACTTTTTAGAAAAGCTGAAGTGATTTCCAGCTTCCTGGTTTTATCTTTTCCACTCAGACTTTCTCTCATTTTTATTTCCAGTGTCTGAGCAGAAGGATGAAGGTTTAACTATGGCTGTGAAACGCAAACCTCTGAACCTGGTTCTGTTTGGCTCAAGAGAACCACTGAAGACGGCAGCAGCCATGGTCATCCTAGGTCAGCCAGATCTTCCTCCAGAGAGGCTCAGGAAGCAGGGAGAGGTGTTTGGACGTGGGGTTTCTCTGGTGCAGCTGCCTGCCTTGGATGGAAAAGCTCAGCAGGAAGTGATGGAGGAATCCTTCAGGTGTGTCTCCCTCTGTGATCCTGAGGGTGTCCACGCCTTCATCCTGGTCCTGCCTGTGGGTCCCCTCACTGATGAAGACAAGGGAGAGTTACACACCATCCAGGACACATTCAGCTCCAGAGTCAATGACTTCACCACCATCCTCTTCACTGTGGAGTCAGACCCTAAACATCCAGCTGTTGGGAACTTTATAAAGGAGAACGGACACATCCAGGATCTCCTCCAGATCTGTGGAGGAAGATATTTAGTTCTGGACATCAGAGACAGACGGCAGATCCCAGAACTGATGGAGACGCTGGAGACGATTTGTGGTGAAACGTCCAGCGTTTTCTCAACAGACCTGTTCACCAAGGTGCTGATTGAGAGGATTTTAAAAGTTGAAGCAGAACTACAGGATGTGAAACAGAAGAATGAAGATGAGCAACAGACAACAAAACAACTCAGGAAAGAGACAGAAGAAGTAAAGAAAAGGGAAGAAGAGCTGAAGAAGAAACACAGAGACGATATTAAAACTCTGCAATCTCAACATGAGCAGCAAAGAAAACAGCTGGAAGAAAAGGATGAAATAATGGAGAGTGAAGGAAAGAAGAGAAAGAAGGAGCGTGAAGAAGAGGAAAAAAACTGGAGAAAACAGGAAGAACTGCAGCGAAAAGAGTGGAAACAAAAACTAGATGCTTCAGAAAACCGAGTGAAAGTTGAGCGAGAGCAAAGAGAGGCGGCTGAGAAGAGGCTGGATCAGTGCAGACGAGAGCGGATCAGGGAGCGGGACGCTTGGGACAGAGAGAAGGCCGGCATCCTGGAGCGAATGCACCAGGACCTGAAGCAGAACCTGCAGGAGACCAGGCAGAACCTGGAGGAGGAGCGGGCCCGCAACAGGAAGCTGCAGGAGGACTTCTACCAGAAGAGGAGGAAGTGGACGTATCTGGCCTTCGCTTTGCTGCTGACTCTAGTTTCATTATATGTGTATCAGAGCCATTAGCTGTTGGACCCAAACCGGACCGAACATCAAGACCCGGCTGGAGTCTGGCTCATTTTAATATGATAATGATGATATTGATGATGATGATGTTAATGTGTCATACAGAGTCATCAGTAACTCTACGTTTATACATAAAATGTACTCTAATACATAAACAAGCAGTTTTTGCATTGAATGTAACTATAATTCATCTCCTTCCTGCTGACTGGTGCACAGCTGCACTGATGATGCAGAATGTCAGCAGAACATCACATGTATGTTCATGACATGGTAATATAAATATTTGTCTGATTTTAGATTTTCAGCAGTGATGTGGTTCTGATAATAAGTACAGAAAACCCAAAAACAGTCAATATTTTGACTTTAATGTTATTATGTCTGAATCTGGATTGTTTTTATGAATGTTTTGTCATGAAAGCTCTGCTATGAGTTCAGATCACATTCAGGAAAAACTAGAGGATTTTAATGAGTCTCTTATTTCCTGTCATTCATGGTTTTGAGTTTTTTCCTCTAAAATTTGTTGTTTTTCTGTTTGTTTCCTGCAGTGAGTTCAGGGTCAGTTTCATGACCTGCACTCAGTTCTTCTATAATCATGATGTTCAGTTCAGTGAGTCTATGAACACTTTCACCTTCAAATAGAAATAAAGACAAAGATTATTTAATTATTGAATGGATTCTTTCTTTGATAACAGAAATTTCCTCAACAGACTCAAAGAGTAAAATCTCAGTCCTGGTTTCTGAAATATTTAAAATCTGTGATCATTTTCTAAACAGATGTAACCAGAACATCTGGTCACATTCACATGTCTGTCTCTATTTTATTTCATGAACATTTCTAAATGTGATTTATGAAATATTCATGTCTCTAATGTGTTTTTATTGAACTTTCTGCACAGACTCAGAATAAAGTTCATGCCCAGGAATCCCATCAGTTGAACTGGTTTCAGTTCTAATTGTGGACATGATTCAGATTTATAGTCCAACTCTGATCAGGCTGATAGTTGGTCAGGTTTGTCTGTGACATGTTTAAGTTTATAATATTAAATTATTATAAAGCCAGATGCATCATACAGCATCTGGCTCCACAGTGAAAACTCATTTCCAGTCAGAGCGTTCACACTGTCTGCACAGATATAGCAGGTCCCTGACCCGGGCCCTCAGGGGCCGCCGTCCTGCATGTGTTTGATGAGTCTGGACTCCAGCACAGCTGATTCATGATTACGTCACCTTCTTTACAGTCCTGTTATTGGATTAACTGTTCATTTAATCCAGGTGTGCAGCAGCAGGAAACTCCAAAAGCATGCAGGGCCCTGGGGTCCACTGAGCCACAGGACTTTATGCAAACGCAGCCTGACAACTTAAATATAGTTGCAAACTGACCAGTAGATGGCAGCAGAGCCAGAGTGTTTAAGGACCTTTAATCTGGTTCCTTTTCCAGAAGTTTAGTCCTAATGGAGCTGACCGAGACAGACAGAGAGATAGACAGACAGACAGAGAGATAGACAGAGAGACAGACAGTCAGTCTGCAGCATCAGGTGGTTTAATTGAGTTGATGAAGCAACTTTGACCAGAAGCTGATTTTAGACAATAAAGGTAAAACAAAAAGGAGCAACAACTGAGTCTCATGTGTAAACATTTTATTTCAGATCATATTTTAACGCTTTGGAAAGTTTATTTTAATGTAATGTATTAATGCATCTACGGAGACGGTTGATGCTGCTGCTGATCTTTGACTCATCTGATGGTGAATCTCTGAACAAACTGGTCACCGTTTGAAGTTACTGAACTTTCTGAGTTCATGTCAGGCTGAACTGAAGCCACTGCTGGTCGATCCGGTCTGGGGACGTTTGGGTCCGTTTACATCAGATGACCCCGACGACCTTCCCGCCGGATGCAGCAGCTGAAAAGCAGGCGGAGCGCTGGACAGGGAGGACGTCTAGAAACACTTCCTGTGGACGATGGCCGGACCGGACTCGTCGTACTCCTGCTTGCTGATCCACATCTGCTGGAAGGTGGAGAGGGAGGCCAGGATGGAGCCGCCGATCCAGACCGAGTACTTCCTCTCTGGTGGAGCGATGATCTGGTCAAAGAACCACAAGGCTCAGAAAACATCCAAATTTAAAGGATCCATGAAAGTTTTGTTGTTGCTACAAGTTATTGAGACTCATTCAGCTCTTCATCCTCTGTAGGACAACTTGGTTCACCATCACCAGCTGCAGGAGCTGCATTAGGTTTCTGATGACCTTTGACCTGTAACTCCTCCAGGTGTCCTGCAGCAGGTCTTACCTTGATCTTCATGGTGGGCGGGGCCAGGCTGGTGATCTCCTTCTGCATGCGGTCAGCGATTCCAGGGTACATGGTGGTGCCGCCGGACAGGACGGTGTTGGCGTACAGATCCTTACGGATGTCCACGTCACACTTCATGATGCTGTTGTAAGTGGTTTCATGAATCCCTGCAGACTCCATTCCTACAGACAAACTGTTCCGTCAGCAGCAAGAACCCAGAAACCCGACTGAACGAGAGCTGAAGTGCAGCGACTCGTTTCCCGTTACAGACCCAGGAAGGACGGCTGGAAAAGCGCCTCTGGGCAGCGGAAACGCTCGTTGCCGATGGTGATGACTTGGCCGTCAGGAAGCTCGTAGCTTTTCTCCAGGGAAGAAGAAGAAGCCGCCGTGTGCATCTCCTGCTCAAAGTCCAGAGCCACATAGCAGAGCTTCTCCTTGATGTCGCGCACGATCTCACGCTCAGCTGGGGTCAGAATGAGAGGACAAAGGTCAATCGGGGCACCATGTCTGGTGTTATGGCTGGTTTCATTCTGGCCGAGTCGTGAAGCTACAGCTCCACGTACCGGTGGTGGTGAAGCTGTAGCCTCGCTCTGTCAGGATCTTCATCAGGTAGTCGGTCAGATCTCTGCCGGCCAGATCCAGACGCAGGATGGCGTGAGGAAGAGCGTAGCCTTCATAGATGGGGACAGTATGGCTGACGCCGTCACCAGAGTCCATCACAATACCTGAGAGATGAGAGGACAGCTGGGTAAACCAGTCAGTCATTTCAGGGTCCAGCTCCGTCTCATAACCTCTGACCTGTGGTTCGACCGGAGGCGTACAGCGACAGGACGGCCTGGATGGCCACGTACATGGCCGGAGTGTTGAACGTCTCAAACATGATCTGCAGCAGAAAGACTTCAAGTCACTGCGGTATAACAGCAGAAAGCCTCTCCTCTGAACCGGGTCGGGTCAGAACCCACCTGGGTCATCTTCTCCCTGTTGGCTTTGGGGTTGAGAGGAGCTTCAGTCAGCAGGACCGGATGTTCCTCCGGAGCCACGCGGAGCTCGTTGTAGAAGGTGTGATGCCAGATCTGAAGGGTTCAGTAAAGACATGGCGGCCATCTTGAAGTCGGGCAGCAGAGTTTATATCGAAACTTTTACTGAGCTGTAAACTCAGCCACGTTTTCCTGCTGCAGTCCTGATGAACCCAGAGCAACAGAACCAGCAGCCCGATGCCAACAGGTGTGATCAGGTCTAACTCACCTTCTCCATGTCGTCCCAGTTGGTGACGATCCCGTGCTCGATGGGGTACTTCAGGGTCAGGATGCCCCTCTTGCTCTGGGCCTCGTCTCCCACGTAGCTGTCCTTCTGGCCCATTCCCACCATCACACCCTGCACACAGCCTGAGTCAGGCCTTCACGCCGCCACGCCGAGGCAGATGGAGGCGCTCCGGGTCCTACCTGGTGTCTGGGTCGCCCAACGATGGAGGGAAAAACGGCGCGAGGAGCGTCGTCCCCAGCAAACCCGGCCTTGCACATCCCGGATCCGTTGTCAACAACCAGAGCAGAGATGTCGTCCTCCATGTCTGAGGAGACGACAGACGGTTGGTTTTCTCCCACAGATCAGCTGGTTTCATCCTGAATCAGTCAGGATGCGACCAGAGATGGAAACCTGCCGCCACACCCAACTTCCTGCCTGGTTCCTCCAATCAGAGCTGCTGAGGGGAACCAGGAACCAGGAACCAGGGGAACCAGAAACCCAGACCCAGTTCACTTTATACAGGTCAATGAAGGTTTAACTGCATTAAAGAATAATTTAACTCCAAGTAGTTCAGAACATTCAGTTAAAAAAAAACAACAACAAAAAAAACATTTTAAGCTTTAAATCCTCAAATTATAATTATTATTTTTCTGTCTCTAAAACATTTCAAACATTAAAACCAGAGTTTCTCCATGGACCCAGCATGACGTCAACACTTCACTGACTTTAGTTAAACCTCAAATCACCATTTAGCAGCTGAATCAGATCAGCCAATCAGCCGCGGCTCCAGGCCTCCTACCTGTCCAGGTGAGTCTCAGGTGTCTGCAGTCCTGCCGGCGTCTGTCTGTCTGTCCAGCGCTGCGCTCTTACTGCCGCATCTGAGCGGCTGCAGCAGCGGCTTTATCTGCGCCGCCTCACTGCGGGCGTTCTCCATAAAAGGTAACGTCTCTCAGCTCGCAACCTGATTGGTCCAGGTGAGCAGCTTTCTCAGCTCGCGTCCTGATTGGCTGGAGGGCGTGTCAGTCAGAAACAACCTGCAGGATTTCTGACTGCATTTCACCTGAGATGGAAACTTGTGATCAGAAATAATTCAGCTGATCAGAGAAATTGATCATAAACAGATAAAATTACAGAAGTTTAAATGATTTATGGCATCAGATGTTCGGATCAGAAAATTATTGATTAACAGAAACTGAAGCATCAAACTGCAGAGAATCAGGATGAAAACAGAAATAAAAAGTTTCCTTGTTGAGATCAGGAAGTTCCAGGCTGATGACCTTTAACCTTTTCTCAGCGTTTAGAGAAGTTTGCTGAGGTTCTGCAGGAAGCGGGTCCAGTGGTTCTGGATCCCTGCAGGTCTCTGCATGTTGATGAACTTCAGATTCATCCTGAGGTAAAAACACAACGACGATTCCCTCACTGCTTTTATTCAGACCGGAACCAGGACTCGGGTCAGAACCCGACCCACCCTAACCCTGCAGCTTCAGCTCAGTTTCATCTGATCAATTCATCTGATCAATTCAACATTCAGTGGAAATAAATGAAACTTTTCCAATAATGATCTGAACCAGATGATCATGACATCATCATGACGTCATCATGACACCATCACTTTACTGTTTCCTCTGTTCTTCATTTGCTTTAAATGTTTTTACTGAGTGAAACGTTTTCATGTTTATAACTATTTTCTTTTAGAACCAACAACATGATGATGATGATGATGATGATGATGATGATGATGATGATGATGATGATGATGATGATGATGATGATGATGATGATGATGATGACCTACATGTCATAATTAGACTGATGGAGGCAGAAAGTGTTGAAACTTCAGTTTGTTTCTGTTGCTCAATGAAACCAAACTTCATCCTGGATTATGAAATAATCTCTGCTGGATTATAAAGATCCTGATGAAACTGGAAAAATACACTTTGATTCTGAAATATGAAGAGAATAAATTAGATGAAAACAGTTATGATTCATGATAAATATCACTGGGATTCATTTCTCCAGATTTTTCTATAATACTGGTTACAGTGGAAGGTGGTCTGCAGGGCAGACTGGCAGGGGGTCTGGATGACCTGCGGTGGTCTGGATGACCTGCGGT